GCCCACTGCTCCGGGTGTTTGTTCACGGTGTGTGTGTTCACTGCTATGTGTGTGCGCACTGCATATGGGATAAATGCAGAGCGCTAATTCCGAGTATGGGCACCATGCTTGGCCACATGTCACGTCACGTCACTTCACTTCACTTAGTATAAGCAGTTTTGGGCGAAGAGAAGGGGGGGGAGATGGGCTCGGGTCAAGACGGCCGGCCTAGGGCCTATATTTGAGGCCTGTGCAGAGCTCTAGTCTGATTTTCATTGGATTAGATGCCAATTGGGGGGGGGGGGGTGAAAAAATTGATAGGTTTTAAATACCTATCAAAAGACAATAGATATATAGTTCAAAATTAAGACAGGAGGCATTTGGAGACTGTCTGGCTGTCAGACGTTGGTGGAACATGTTAATGTAATGAACTATACCTGTTGTTATTCTACTAGGGCACCTGTATGATCTTGAGGGGAAATTACTTTGTAAATTCATTTGAAAAAATCCCAGTAATTCAGAATGTTTAATCTGGAACAGAATTGGTGATCCAGCACACCTACCTTCACTGTCTGGATCTACTGAAGGATCCAGCGGCCATTCCCTGTGGACACACTTACTGTATGTACTGTATGAACTATGGTTACAGGTGATATTCACTGTTATCACTTGAATATAAAAGGGGCGTGACATTGGTTATTCAGTCAGTGGCTAGAGTAATGTATATAATCTGTTGTGTGAAGGAAACAATTTGACAACATCGCCTGTTATTAAATTTACTCATCAGTCCCAAACAATGACTGTGTGAACATAAACGTATTCAGAATTTAACAGAACAAACAACTGTCTGTAGCCATTAAGAAGCGTGTTGTTGTAAAAGGAGTTGAGCTGGTTATCACTGTGCACCAAACATGGCAGCAAAGTGTTACACTGACACAAAATATTTGTATTACACATTTACACAGAATGTAGATGTATGTGTGTCTGATGTTGTTCAAATTAATGTCAACTACTGATTATAATGAATCCCGTCTCTTTTCGCTCTGTTAGCCCCTCCTACATTCAGTTCAGGGAAAAGTTAAACTTACTCCTACTTCCTGCATTTTCTTGTTGTGGGAATCAGCGTTCTTTGAATTTTAGGCTAGACTGTTTGTGGGTTACTATTTTGTGTATTCAAATTACAGAATCCAGTGTTTCTTTGGCTGCTACCCTTAATGCAGACAGACCTTCACTCCAAGACCTGTTTTAGGTAAAAACACCATGCTGGCTGAAGTGCTGGAGAAACTCAAGAAGACAAAACTCCAAGCTGTTCATCCTGACCAGTGTTACGCTGGATCTGGAGATGTGGAGTGTGACGTGTGTACTGGGGACAAAAACAAAGCCATCATGTCCTGTCTGGTGTGTCTGAACTCTTACTGTCAAAATCATCTTGAACAACATGAGACTTTCTTCAGAGGTAAGGGACACAATCTAATGGATGCCACTGGACAACTGCAGGAGATGATCTGCCCTCAACATGAGAAACTACTAGAGATCTTCTGTCGTAGTGAACAGAAATGTATTTGTTTGCTGTGTATGGTGGAGGAACACAAAAATCACAACACTATATCAGTTGCAGCAGAGAGGACTGAGAAACAGGTATGAAATAAAAATGCTTAAATTAATGTCAAATGCATGTTTTATTATTACAGTGATTCCCAACTCCGGTCCTGGGGACCCACTGCTCTGCACATTTTATATGTCTTCCTTATTTAACACACCTGATTCAGATCATCAGCTTGAAGGAGAGAGCTCCATGAACTGAACTGTGTATGTCAGTTAAGGCAGACATACAAAATCTGTAAAGCAGTGGGTCCACAGAACCAGTGAGTACCACTGGATTATAGCACTGCCGTTACTATAGTGACTGATGTCTGAAAGCATATGGATCCACATATACATGTAACATTAACTTCCCAACAGAGACAGTTGGAAAAAACACAGAGAAATTTCCAGAAGAGGATCCAGGAGAGACAGAAGCTGCTTGAGAAGCTGAGAGAGGCTGTAGAGTCTCACAAGGTGAGTTCTGAGCAGAAGAAAGTCGAGCTGAAGGACAACTGGAGCACCTGGAGCAGGAGATTGAAGGTCTGAGGAGGAGAGACGCTGAGCTGGAGCAACTTTCACACACAGAGCATCACATCCATTTCCTCCAGGTAACAGAGATCTGACAAACAGGACAGTGATCTTTAGGAAGGGAAGAGCATGTTGTTCAGAGATTGTGTTTTCTATCAAATGTTTCTGTGTCTTTATCTGGTGTTTCTATTGTGTCTTTGTGTCTGTATAGAGTTTCCAGTCTCTCTCTGTTCCTCCTGGATCTACAGACTCGCCCAGCATAACTGTCAGTTCTCGTCTCTCTTTTGATAATATTGGTAAATCTGTGTCTCATCTGAGAGAGAAACTGGAGCATTTCTGCAGGGAGGAGATAGAGAAGATATCTGGTAAACGTAAGTACTGGATCATTTATGTACTCTCAGTAAAAATTTAATATTAAATAGATGTACATTTAGTGTTCTCTGTACTTTTATTAATATTCCACAGTAACATACATTGAGATCTTTCCCACACCCGAGCTCAAGTCCAGGGAGGAATTTTTACAATGTAAGTCTCTACACACACACACACACATGCTACTACTACATTGATTTACGCCCTTATAATCTGATTGACACCTTCATGAAGTAACAATTCTTCTCTGTTAATCTTGAAGTTGAATAAAATAAGAAATAAAAATAAAACTCTTGCATCTCTTAATGTTTCATTATATTCTAGATTATTTGATTTGTTTCCATCAGATTCCCATCAGTTCACTCTGGAAATAAATACAGTGCATAAAAGAATTTGTCTGTCTGAGGGGAACAGAGTGATTACATACACTGACACGGTCCAGCCGTATCCTGATCATCCAGACAGATTTGATACTGTGGAGCAGGTGTTGTGTAGAGAGAGTGTGTGTGGACGCCATTACTGGGAGGTTGAATGGAGTGGTAAGGTCGGTATATCAGTATCATATAAGAGAATCGGCAGGAAGGGAGAGAGAAATTAATGTGTTTTTGGACGCAACATTCAGTCTTGGAGATTATTTTGCTCTCCCACCACATGTTTATTCTGGCACAATAACAAAAAGACTAGACTCCCTGTAGTCTCCAGCTCCTCTAGAATAGGAGTGTATGTGGATCACAGTGCAGGAACTCTGTCCTTCTACAGCGTCTCTGACACAATGAACCTCATTCACAGAGTCCACACCACATTCACTCAGCCTCTCTATGCTGGGCTTAGAGTCAATTATACATTTGGATCAGTTTCAAAAGTAAAACTGTGTGAATTGAACTGTATTGAAGGTACAGAGAATCATGTTTGAGGTCAATGTAAAATCAGTGAAAAATGCCGAGTGGAGTCTTTTCTTTATTTATTTCCAGATCAATGAATCAATATACTATCTGAACTCCTATCAGTGAAATAACATGAAACTTTATTTGTGTGTAAATCTTAGTTTAATCAGATAAATGAATATTTATAAAGAAAGACTAGAAGAAACTATGTGGAAATATCATCATTGACACCAACAGCAGAAATAATACTTGTAATGTAACTTAATTTACTTGTTTAATACAAATAAAACAAATTAGAAGCATGAGAGGCATTGTTGTGTTTCCTTCATTAATACACATATATTAACTGAGTGGATTTACAGGTTCCTCTTCGTCTTCAAATATTAAATGTCTAAACAATGTTGGATTCAACAGTGACACTAGAGAGACATTTACTTAAAAATGCAAATATGTGTAATGTTTTCCAGAAATAATTGTGACAATTGAGTCTCATATTGTTGCTTCTGTCACTGCATCTCTGGATCTTCTCATTTTGCCTCAACAGGCTTACAGTAAGCCATTAATCATTTATTTTAACCACAGCAACTTTAACCAATAACAGAAAGGGCCAGTCCTGCTCTATCAGCCTCCCATTAAGAGTACTTACTTAAAGCACAGTGGTAACACACTTGCCCTGTTCCCTGTGTTAAATTAGGATACTTAACTGTAAACCCACTGGATGCTCACACTCTACCTGGACATGATTTTAGATCCTTTATTTAAATTTCAAATGTAAGTTTGTGTCACTGCTGTTCCATTCTTCTTCCATAACTGTCACTGGTTCACTCTACCAAATAACCTGAATGTTTTTAAACTCTTTCTAATTGGCAAGACGATGACGAGACTTTTAATTAAAAATGTATCATGGATATTATTTAACAAAGTTATCACATGACAATCATGCAGCAGTTATAAAAGCAACAAACTCTTCTACGATTATTTATGATTTGCATATTAAATATAATTGTATAAATTGTCATGCAACAAAAGTGATAATACAATAAAATCATTAACAGTAGACTCATTGTAGGGACACTTGGTAAACAGTGAGAGGAAATATTTTGAGGGTCAACATTAGTATTTGTGCTCAGAGAGCAGCAGAGTGTTAGATTGCAACGTTACATGAGAGATCAACTATTAACACAAACATACTTTCAACAGAATGCAGGAATAATTTTAAATGTGTGAAAGACATAGTTGAGTTGAAACCTTCATCTCACCAGCTCTCTCTCTCCCGCTTCCCCCCTCTTCCTCCCTCTCTTGGCCACTCCTACTTTCAGTTCAGTGAAAGTGAAACTCATCACTACTTCCTTCTTAGTCTGGGTGTGGGATTCAGCAGTTTTGCTGTTGTTGTTGATTTCTGTTTCTAAGATCTAGACTGTCTGAATTATTGTATTTGCAGTAAAAATGGCAGTATCTAGTGTTTCTTTGGCTCAGGATGAGTTCAGCTGTTCAATCTGTCTTGATCTACTGAAAGATCCAGTGACCATTCCCTGTGGACACAGTTACTGTATGAGCTGTATTACAGGCTGCTGGGATCTGGATGATCAGAAGAGAGTCTACAGGTGCCCTCAGTGCAGACAGACCTTCACTCCAAGACCTGTTTTAGGTAAAAACACCATGCTGGCTGAAGTGCTGGAGAAACTCAAGAAGACAAAACTACAAGCTGCTCGTCCTGCTCAGTGCTACGTTGCATCTGGAGATGTGGAGTGTGACGTCTGTACTGGGAGAAAATATAAAGCCATCAAGTCCTGTCTGGTGTGTCTGAACTCTTACTGTCAAAATCATCTTGAACAACATGAGAATCTGTTCAAAGGTAAGAGACACAATCTAATGGATGCCACTGGACAACTGCAGGAGATGATCTGCCCTCAACATGAGAAACTACTGGAGATTTTCTGTCGTACTGATCAGCAGTGTATATGTTATTTGTGTACAATGGATGAACACAAAAACCATGAGACTGTATCAGCTGCAGCAGAGAGGACTGAGAAACAGGTATTAATGTGTCTAACGCAAACAACAATTGCAGCATGATTAATCTGAAAATATACCATAAAAGTTTTTGTTTATCATGCACTATGGAAATTTGATATATTTATATAAAATCTAATAATAGTGGTTAATATCAGAAAAGCAGTTAGCAACACTAACACTTACATTCTTAAATTGATTGTAAGATTAACAAACAAAATAAATACAGCCATTTCTAAAAATTGTCAAACTTACTGGTTAACAGACACATATGCTGAACAACAAACTTTTCCAACAGAGTCAATTGAATGAGACACAGAGTAAATTCCGCCAGAGAATCCAGGAGAGACAGAACGAGCTTGAGGAGCTGAGAGAGATTGTAGAGTCTCACAAGGTGAGTTTTGAACAGAAGAACAGCTGCTGGCTGCTGAAGAGCTGTTTCAGACTCAGTTAGGACTCTCAGTCCTTTCAGTCCCACTGAAGCCCACTGTGGGGAACGGGCTGTGTGAGGTAGCAGTAAGAGCTGAGTGAATTAACTGATTCTAATGCTTCTCTCTGTGTCCTAACAGCGCTCTGCACAGGCAGCAGTGGAGGACAGTGAGAGGATCTTTACTGAGCTGATCCGCTCCATTGAGAGAAGCTGCTCCGAGGTGACACAGCTGATCAGAGATCAGGAAAAGTCTGCAGTGAGTCGAGCTGAAGGAAAACTGGAGCAACTGGAGCAGGAGATTGAAGATCTCAGGAGGAGAGATGCTGAGCTGGAGCAACTTTCACACACAGACAATCACATCCGTTTCTTCCAGGTAACAGAGATCTGACAAACAGGACAGTGGTCTTCAGGAAGGGAAGAGCATGTTGTATAGAGTTTCTATCAAATGTTTCTGTGTCTTTAGCTGGTGTTTCTATTGTGTCTTTGTGTCTGTTTCCAGTCTCTCTCTGTTCCTCCTGGATCTACAGACTCACCCAAAATCATTGTCAGTTCTCATCTCTCTTTTGATGATATTGGTAAATCTGTGTCTCACCTGAGAGAGAAACTGGAGCATTTCTGCAGAGAAGAGATGGCAGAGATATCTGATATGGGTAACGCACTGGATCATTCATTTACTCTCAGATATAGGTCAAGCATCATGTCAGAACATGCATAAATATGAAACGTATATGGGATACATACATACTATGTTCTCTTTTCTTTAATATTAAACTAATATTGTTCATTCACTCAGTGTCTGTTGGTTTTCATAGTAAAATACATCGAGTTTATATCCACCCCCGAACCCAAGAAAAGGGAGGAGTTTCTACAATGTAAGTAAAAATGACAACACGCACAAAAGGGGGATAAAATAAAAATGTGCACAAAAAAATGAAAATCATGCCATCTAATGTCAGTAACTTTAAGATGATTTAGAAGCAGCTTATGTGTTTTATCTCTTTCAGATTACCGTCGGTTCACGCTGGATGAAAACACAATGCATAAATACCTCTGTCTGTCTGAGGAGAGCAGAATGATTACTGAAACTAACACAGACCAATCATATCCTGATCATCCAGACAGATTTGATAGTTTGACTCAGGTGCTGTGTAGAGAGAGTATGTGTGGACGCTGTTACTGGGAGGTTGAGTGGAGTGGGAGAGGAGTGTGTATATCAGTGTCATATAAGAGCATCAGCAGGAAGGGACGGGGTAATGAATGTGCATTTGGATATAATGATCAGTCCTGGAGTTTGTATTGCTTTCCTTCCAGTTACTGCAAATACTCATTCTGTCACAATTACACAGAGACTGAGCTCACTGAGGTCTCCAGCTCCTTTAGAATAGGAGTGTATGTGGATCACAGTGCAGGAACTCTGTCCTTCTACAGCGTCTCTAACACAATGACCCTCATTCACAGAGTCCACACCACATTCACTCAGCCTCTCTATGCTGGGTTTAGAGTTTATGGATCAGTGAAACTGTGTGATATCACAAAATAGATGATACAAAGTCATATAGTGCTGCATGTGATATTATCAATAAAAATACAAGTAAAAACCTTATCACATTAAGCTAATAATGGTTCATGTAAGGGTGAAAGAATAACAACAATGTTCATTGTAACCAATGGCACAAATAATATACTGTCATAATGTATGCTGTAAATAAAAACATGAGCGAACAAAAGGCCATAATGTCATTTATTTAGGCCTTTGGAATCTGAATATATGACATCACAGTTATGAATTAACAACCTTGCAGTTGAAGATGTACTGTTCATTCTGTCTATGAAACACTGTGAATGAAAACAGATGGAAGTGTGATCAACATTAAAACAAGATTTTACTTCAATAAACATAAAAAGCAGAGAAAGTATAGCCCCCACCCCCTCCTTTTTACTACAATTTTACTGACGAGAAATTGCAAGTGACTAAAGATAGGAAGTAAAAAAGTAAGAAAACATTGAATGAAGAAATGCAAATAATAAAATAATGAAAAAAATGGACACAAAATATTAAATAAAATGTTATTGTAAATACATTAAGATGATCACAGATAAATTGTAACAAAACACATACAGCAGAATAATTTTATGTTATTAGACAATTATATCTTTTGATTTTACCAAATAATAATCTATCATTTTGTCCTCGTTGTTCTTCTGTTAATCTCCGTGACGGTGACTCGTGTGAAGTGACATCACCGAACCGGAGGCCGGGTGATCCTCCAACGCGGCTCTTTCTGTAGTCACACGGGCCGGGAAACAACAACCCAGGCCGGGACTTTGGAGCAAGGCGGTGTCCCCACCCCTCCGGCCGTGTCTGTATCCGTGTGTTTGCGTGTGTTCTGGCCGGTGCTCTCGTGATTCGGTAACCGGGGGAAGATGGCGGACCCGGCGGAGTGCACCATTAAAGTTATGTGCCGTTTCAGGCCATTGAATAGCTCGGAGGTGACGAGGGGGGACAAATACATAGCCAGATTTCAGGGAGAGGACAGCATCGTGATCGGGGTGAGTGATATTTTGGGACGGAGTTATTTTGTATCATTTACTTTTCGGTTGATCTCGCGCGAGCGGCTAATGCTAATGACCGCAGTCCATCAGAACCAGAATTTGTCACGACCTGTTAATCTGAATATTTGACACCGACACCAGCCTCTGCATCCGGTCCGGTGACACCCGAAACTGACCGTTTAATTCGGACATAAATGTTAATTTAGTTCATTTCAATGTCGTTTCCTCATGAGCTTCATGCTAACCGTGTTAGCCAGCCCTGCACATTCAACGCGGAAACACAGTTAGTTTTACACTTTTAGGACAGCAGAAGCTTATTTTATTGATTTACTCAGTTTAAGATATGTAGTGGTTGCACATTGTAGGTTTAGATTATTATTTTATACCTATAATTGTAAGTTAGGGTGTGGATATTTGTTGAATGAGCAGGAAACTGTCCGTATTTGTGGGCGTTTGTAAATACTGAGAGAAAATCTAACGTTATATCAGGAATGTTTTCAAACGTTTCGATATCAAGGACCACCAAATATGTTCCCATCGCTTAGGCCTCTCTTACTAAAATGTAGCTATTTTAAATAAAAATATATATTTTTTAAATTCATGAAAATAACAATTAATGGATGTTTGTGAAAATGTGTGATTTTGTAACAGAAAAGACCATATGCTATTTGGTAAATTAGCTTAATTTTATGTCGTAACTGTACTAAAATCTAAGCAAATCATTAAAATATTATTTGGAAAATATTTACTTTTAGTAGATACAGTATTTCTTCTATATAACCTTACATAAACATTTTTAAGTACAATTTTCTAAATATAATTTAATTTTCCACAAATTTTTCAAATCCATTCAAATTTTTTGGACTCTAGTTTGTTTGAAAACTCCTGCTCTTTATAAATGAGCTTCATGCTAACCGTGTTAGCCAGCCCTGCACATTCAACGCGGAAACACAGTTAGTTTTACACTTTTAGGACAGCAAAAGCTTATTTTATTGATTTACTCAGTTTAAGATATGTAGTGGTTGCACATTGTAGGTTTAGATTATTATTTTATACCTATAATTGTAAGTTAGGGTGTGGATATTTGTTGAATGAGCAGGAAACTGTCCGTATTGGTAAATTAGCTTAATTTTATGTCGTAACTGTACTAAAATCTAAGCAAATCATTAAAATATTATTTGGAAAATATTTACTTTTAGTAGATACAGTGTTTCTTCTATATAACCTTACATAAACATTTTTAAGTACAATTTTCTAAATATAATTTAATTTTCCACACACCCCTTTTGTGACCCATCAAATTTTTTGGACTCTAGTTTGTTTGAAAACTCCTGCTCTTTATAACATCAGCAGTCACATTTATATATATATAAAAAAAGGGTGTGAATGAAGGTGAAATTGGACATGACTCATGAGGTTGTAAAATGAAAACAGAAGCTTGGTTAAACCTCTTTTTCTAGCACATATACCTGTTAATATATAACTAGGCTTCTATTGAACCAAAGACCTGAATGTAACACATTTAAAAGGACCAAGTAGAAATGCTGATGATCCGTATGTGCAGAAACTCAAGAGTTGCACTGACATCTACGTGTATTTGTGGGTGGGGAATTGATTAATCATTGCCACTGTGCTTTGATTATCTTTAAACCCAGTTCAAACATGACGACAGTCTATATGTCATCAATTCTGAAGATTTTTTTTCTATGGCTGACTAAACTATGGCATGATGAATGACATTTGAAAACAAACATGCCATGTGGCAAGCTGAATCATACAGGTGACCACCATCCCTTTTAATGTAAATAATGATTATTTCATAGAGCAGTTTTTCTTGTACGTCCTCTTCAATTTCACAGATCTTTTATTATGTTGTTAAGGGTCGGGTATTCCTGTCTGCTTACAGTGTGTGTACGTTCCTGAAAGACGGCTTTGAAATGGATATGTTTGTTTTTGTTCGTTGCTCGCTCTCTTAATGGTCCTCTTGTGTGTGTGTGTGTGTGTGTGTGTGTGTGTGTGTGTATGAAGATAATGTGAGAGAATGCCCAGCAATTGGAGACTCCTTCAGGCTTATCCACAGTAATTTGAAAAAAATGAAAAGAGTGTGTGTAAGCACTAGAAGGAAGGTGAGATAATGATTTGGAAATAGAGAGCGCTCCACCCTGCGCTACCCCTGGGACTCTGTGTGTCTAAGTGAGATGAGAAAATAGTTAGGTAAGAAAGTGCCTCAATCAGAACTCTGGGAATTTTTTTCTCTTCTCACAAGAGACTGGCCTTGGTTCTGTATCAGTATTGTGTTCAGGCCAAGCATCATGATGTGCTTTGTAGATTACAATTGATAATCTGTTTCACAGATGTTGACACTTTTCTACTTCATTATCCGTTCATAAAACAAATATATAAATATGTTTGCAACAGTACTTTTATTAAATACAGCTTTTATTAAATGCATTAACAATCATATCAATTATTGTTTTGTTAATAATAATATGTTTATTTAATTGTTGTATTATTAGTTTGTTATAGTGTCAAAATGACACTATAATGCAAAACTGATTAAAATGTGTTTTGAACACTTATAAATCAGCGGTACGGGTTGATCTCTTGTGCATTACGGACAGGTTGCTGTTAAACTGAATGAGTACAGGAACATGTATTATTTGAACGTGTTTAGTGGCAGTCACTAGTCTTCCCCCACTGCACATTTTAGAGACTTTCAGCCACAGCAAAAACATGTTAAAGAGTCTGTAAACCAGTGGTATGCTCGTGAAAAGCTGTTAAACATTACATTTCCGCTGTAATTCCCTCTAGACTTTGGTCATCTTAAGGCAGTCATTTAATCCTGATCTATCAAATGAGTCCCTTGTTTTTGCCATACTATAGCATATTGATTGGTAATAATACTGAATTGCTGGCATATTCCACAGAGGTTTGCATCTTGTTTAGGCTAGGCTTAATTTAGTTGATAGGTATTCATCAACTTTTTTTTTTTTTCTTTGAATAAGATTAAGTGAATCTATCATTGAACTGATGATTAAACAATTAGGTAGGCTGCTTCTTGTCACAGTAAAGATATGGGACCCAATGCTTAACCTGCAATAATAGTGCAATGTTTGCACACTTATGGTTTGACATTGCTCTGATAAAACAAGGTATCAAAGATCATTAACCATTAAGCTACTATCACCCCAACTGGAAAACTTAATAAAACATCATTAAATGGTCATGCTTCATTTAATTGTCTTTTTTATTATTTGCAAAATTATACATTAAGAAATCATTTATTCACATTAAAGTTATACTTGCAATAAAATGTATTATTTCATTTACGTTTATGCATAAAGTAGCTGTGCCTTTTCACGAGCCGTTGTGACTTCCGTAAAAAGGTGACGTCAGAACTACACAGTCACCGCCTTCAGTCTCCCCGAGCACTGCCCACAGTCCCACTCTCCTTTTGCCAAACCCCCAGACAACATCGCGTCCATGCCATTGCTGAGCAACAACAACAAGGAAACATGTCAAGAAAACGCTGTTCAGTCGATGGATGTCAGGAAACTACATCATTGCACAGGCTTCCGAACTAGGGTTGGGCCGATAGACGATGCCATCATCCATCGCCGATGGCTGATAGACTTCACGATGTTGAGCCGGCATCGTGATCCTCCCATCCCCCCCTCCCCCTCATACCCATCGCAATCCGGCCGCATCCCAATACCATGTTTGGAAAGAAAATGGCGTGTACTACGGGAACCCCTAAAGTTAATAAATACGAAATGAGAGGAAAATATATATTTCAGTATTTTCTCTCGCAGTTATATCATTGGGTAATTATACGGCATCAGGCAGGGAGCCGCTATTATGCCTGGCATTGAAACTGCTTTTGAACGCGCGATTTTTGTTTCACGTTCATTTTCAAGATTCGCGATCGCACGTACTTCTCCCCTTACTCTGTTTATGTGGTAAGTGAAATTTTATGTAGCCTACTGTAATATAACAGGCATTATGTAATGTCCGCAACCCGTAAGTAAACTTTTCACACATTTTACGTTACATTACGGAGCCAGCATAATCTGAAATTATAATTTGTAAACGGTTATGCAACGCTAACGTGTTGCTAACTTGATGCTGACGTGTTGTATCAGTAGGAAAGCAATAGTTGCGTAGATTACTGCGTTCGGTTTTTGAAAAAAAAAAAAATTAATTACCATTCTGAAACATCCTGTTGTAAGCGCATTTGATGAGGTGGTTGGTTGTCGCCTGTCGTCGCCGATTCGGGATCTGAGTCAAACATGTAAGGCCGGAAAACATTTCCCTCAGCAGTGGCCACCATTACAGGTGTTTCTATTTACAG